TTATACCCAAATTTGGGAAACACTGGTTTAAAGTATTGCGTTCAATAAGATCTCAACTACCTCGTGATACGACTTATTTCCACAATACTGTAAAATCGTACTTCTAATTTCTAATTGAAATAACAATTTATGCTTATATTTTAAGTAAATATATAAGGCACTTTGTGTGACCATTTGAAATATCTTTCTCATGTATCCTTTAAAAATCTGATTTCACAATTGACTTAAATTAAAAAAAGAAAAGAATATCGAAATAATGTACACCTATTTTATTCATCGTGAACGAAGTTTTTTTAATTAAGGTTTACATGTTTCTCGTTCTAGTATTTTATTTTGTATATTTTTCTTTGTCTCTTCAACTGAGAAGGATGTTTTATATAGTGATATTAAGTGTCTCCCGTTTCATACAATTTGAAGAAAAGAAATCTAATTCCGGTCAATTTACGGTGCCAATTGTTTTAAAACTTTTAAGCAGTATTCCTCTGACAAGATCTGTCTTAAGACGCATGAAATCAATTATTGGCTCTCGCTTGACTTCCAGCACTGCTTCAATGAATTTACAGCGTATGTCCCTAATTAATCTGAATGTCACGATTGCATTCTAATTATGTAATAAGCACACAAACCGTATTACGCGTGTCGCATTTGAATAGACGTTTAAATAATGATTAAATAAAGGCGGTCGTGCGATTATCTCTAAGTATGATTCTTATAAGGATGAATATTTACATAGATAAAATGTACAGCCCACATGCGAAAATATCGGGCTATACTTGAAATACGTTACAAGAAAACAGCCTTTTTCCGTTCAGATCGTGACAATTGATAATATCGGTTTACCAGCGATTAACATCATTTGCGAATTGAGAGTTTAACTTGAGACGAATCGGTAATATATATATATATATATTTAAATTTATTCAAGATAAATTGTCGTTTTCAATGTAATTATTGAATCGGTTTTCAAGAAATTCTTGATTTTAAACAATGATTTTTTGTTTTTAAATGATTCTTAATGTAACTTTAGAAAGTCGATGGTTATCAAAAATAATTTTGATAATTTTAATCATTGTTATTGTGAGATTTGTACTTTTATCAATTTTTTTTTTCATCAAACATTTCGATAAATCGTTTAGCATATGATATCATACGTTTCTAAGATTGTATTTGGAATTATGGTTCTACGGACATCCGTGCCCCGAGAAGAAATTCGATTCAAGTGTTGTATTGATCAACGGCGAAAATCGAGTCGAAAATACAGAATTGAGCGCGGCCTACTTCAAACTGAGAAGTTTTATGAAATATCGATCGCGAGAAACGAGAAAACACGCGGATCAAAATTGCTCACACCGAAAACGTGTTTCAAGTAGGTAACCCCGATCATTTTGAGATTCATTTTTCTAGAAGTTATTCTATACGATTTACACGCAATTCTACCGTTAGGAGCGTTTTAATTACAAAGAGTCTCGGATAACTAATTATACGGCTAATGCGAACTTCAAAGAACCTTTCATCTGTCGTACTGTGTACTGTTTCCTTTATGTATACGTTATTCCATAATTTTCTTCAATTAACCACACGAGTTGATGATGGTTGGTGCAATCTGTATGTCCCCTGTGATTTAAGTTCATAACGAATTGAGAATCAACGTTTTACAAATAATAAAAGATATTGTGAGTTTGGTGACACAAGTCGATCTTCATTTCCGCAAAACACCGTTTCTTCATTTTCAGAATTCGTCACCGCGATAATCGAAACGCTAAACGTACAAATTCAAACGTAAATGTTCAAATGTACAATACAATGGGTAACTACGAGTTACAGAGTAGAATTTAAAAGGAAAACCATCGGCGAACGATTCAGCGTTATCTTTATTTACATATAATAAAAATATACAATACAAATAACATCGCGTCAACGTTATCGAAACATCCACGAGCAACGTTCAAAGTTCGAACCTTCCAGCGTGCGAACAGTTCCTCAATTACCGGCGACCATAAA